ACGGTATTTTTTAAAAAGTTCCCAGGTGGTTCTAATGTGTACCCAGAGTTGAGAATTTAGTTAAAGGGTGAGTTGAAGGAGAGAATGCCCCACACATTTGTGACCAAATAGGGCATTTCCCAGGGCAGTCCCTAAATGGAACACTTTCCAACACATTTTCTATCTCAGCTTCTCTCCGGTAACTTTGATTTGCTACCACCTATAGCAGAATGGGAGACTTTCTACTCCAAAGTTCATGGTCCTATAGTAGTAGTTCATGGTCCATGGTAGTAGCTATCAACAAGCAGTGAAAGGCATGGTAAGGTCATAAAGTATTCTTTAAATTACTTTAGGGTCCTTCTTCAAACTATTTTAAGAAATCAAATGGTGGCAGTTAATCTGTAGAAAACAAAAGCAAGGGAGCTATTTGTAAAACACATTAAAAGAAAAGGATTAATGGGACTAATTTTTGACAGAGTCCACTGAGGTTGATGCGAAGTTAGAATTTCTGACTTTAAGTGTCTCCAATTGTGTGGGAAAGAAGACTCCTTTAGTAGCGCAGGTACACTAAGTTAACTCCTGACCAGCTATTGACTCCACATTGACATGGGATTGACTTTTAGATGAAGCACCCTTAAATAGGATGGCCACCATGACAGTTCTGGAGAGGACCAACTAAAGTCAAAAACTCCACTGCCTGACCTGAAGGAGGACTTGAACACCTGACTGGTGAAGCTTGCTGAAGGAGGACCCCAGTTTTCAAGTCAGCCATAAAACAGTAATAAATTTGGGGACAGCATTGTCTCCTTTGTCGTTCTCTGATATGGTCCACTCTTTCTCTCGAGCATGCTCTCTGCTTGAGCCTCAATTTGCTTTTACTTTACTTTCACCTCACTTCTACTTTTAATAATAAGTTCTCTTGCATAACTTTTGGTGTATGATTTTAAATTTTCTTTTGTCGGAACACAAGAACTGAGGTTTGGCGTTTCAGCTCCCTGCTTTCCTGTGACACTGAGGTGTGTAACTTTCCTTTCTCGCTTCTCCAGCAGCACATCTTAACACTCTCCTGGTATATCCAGATAAGAATGAATCTCAGGACATTACCACCAAGTAGCTGTGTAACGCTAAACAAGTAACACAGCCTCTCTAAATCTGAGTTTCTTTATTCATACCACCAGGTAGCTAACAGATTGGTAGTTTTCATACTATGTTCTGAGAAGTTCTGACATTCTGCCAAGGGCATTGATTTTTAAAATCCCTGGATCAAATGATCCAGAGGTCTTTACCAACATTCTGTAGTTCTAAATTCTACAGGAATAGATTGATGCTACCACCAAAGTCTCACCATAACCATATGCTTTAAAGCCAAAGATTATATTTAGAGGGTACTGTAGAGTGAATGTTTATGTCCCTACAAAAATTCACATTGAAACCTAATTCCTAAAGCAATCATCTCTGGAGATGAGGTCTTTGGGAGTTGACTAAGTAATGACAATGAATGGGCTTAGCATCCCTTTAAAAGAGAGCTCCCTTGCCCTTTTTGTCCTGTGAGGACTCAGCAAGAAGATGTCCATCTGTGAACTAGGATGTGGGCTCTTACAGGTGTCGAGTCTGTCAACCCCTTGATCTTGGACTTCCTAACCTCCAAACTTTAGAAACAAATTTTGTTGTTTATATAAGCTACCTTGTCTAATTGTAGTTTTTTATAGCAGCCCAAATGGACTAAGACACCACCCCTGGTCTAAATCTGATATTATAAACTGACTATCTACAAGCCAAATCCATCACAGACCTATTTTGCTTTTGCCCAAAGAGTGCTTTTTACTTTCCTTGATATCTTTCAAAGACTTTTGAAAATTGAACCAGAAGGTAGTTTAAAATTGAAGTAGAAGTTAGTTCTGAAATACACAGAAACCAGAGATATCTGCCTCAATGAACCATAATGTAAAAACACCTTTGCAACAACTCTGGTAAGATATAAAACAATATTGCCAATTGCTGGGATAATTGGCACATTACTGTAATCCCAGCAGCTCAGGAGTTGAAGCAGGAGGATTGTGAGTTCAAAGCCAGCCTTAGCAAGAGTTAGGCACTAAGCAGCTCAGTGAGACCCTGTCTCTAAATAAAATTTTAAAAAGGGGGGGGTGGAGTTGGGGATGTGACTCAGTGGTCGAGTGCCCTTGTGTTCAAACCCTGGTACCAAAAACAAACAACAGCAACAACAATTAAAAAAACAGTATTGCCACTTCAGAAGCTCCTCCTGGCCACCCCTCTTCATCATTCCTTCCTTTCTCTTCCTCAAAGGTAACCGCCATCTTGAGTTCTTACATCATAGATTAGCTTTGCCTCCTTTAAACAGTTATATAAAAGAAATAATCTAGTGCATATTTTTTGGATTTGTCTCTTTTGCTCAATAATATGTTAGTGAGATTCATATGTTTTTGGACATTTTTGTAGTTTATTTTCATTTCTTAATAGTATTACACTGTGTTAGACTATATTACAATTAAAGATAGCGCACCATGATCAAGTGGGGTTCCTCCCAGGGATGCAGGCTTGGTTCAACGTATGGAAATCAATAAACATAATTCATAATATCAATAGACTTAAAAACAAGGATCATGTGATCATCTCAATAAATGCAGAAAAAGTATTTGACAAAATACAGCACCCTTTCCTGTTCAAAACACTAGAAAAACTAGGAATAGCAGGAACGTTTCTCAACATCATAAAAGCAATATATGCTAAACCCAAGGCCAGCATAATTCTAAACAGAGAAAAATTGAAAGCATTCCCTCTAAAAACTGGAACAAGACAAGGATGCCCTCTTTCACCACTTTTATTCAACATCAACCTTGAAACTCTAGCCAGAGCAATTAGACAAAAGAAAGAAATTAAAGGGATACAAATAGGTAAAGAAGAACTCAAACTATCACTATTTGCCAATGACATGATTCTATATTTAGAAGATCCAAAAAATTCCACCAAAAACCTTCTAGAACTAATAAATGAATTTAGCAAAGTTAGCAGGATATAACATCAACACCCATAAATCACACACATTCCTATACATCAGCAACAAATCCACTGAAAGAGAAGTTAGGAAATCTATCCCATTCATTGAAAAGGATATGTTAGTGAGATATCCCATATCCTTGAAAAAATAAAATACCTGGGAATCAATCTAAAAAAAGAGGCAAAATTCCTCTACAATGAAAACTACAGAACACTAAAGAAAAAAATTGAAGAAAACCTTGGAAGATGGAAATATCTCCCATGCTCCTGGATAGGTGGAATGAATATTGTCAAAATGGCCATACTATCAAAAGCATTATACAGATTTAATGCAATTCCTATTAAAATCCCAATGACAGTCTTCATATAAATAGAAAAAACAATCATGAAATTCATTTGTAAAAATAAGAGACCCAGAATAAGCAAAGCAATCCTTAGCAAGAAAAGTGAAGCAGGAGGCATCACAATACCAGACCTAAAACTATACTACAGAGCTATAGTAACAAAAATAGCATGGTATTGAACCTACACAAATAGTTTTCTAATAGCTAGACAAAGGTGCTAAAAAACATTCACTGTAGAAAAGATAGCCTCTTCAACAAATGATGCTGAGAAAAATTAAAAGCTACATATAACAAAATGAAATTAATTATCTCTTACCCTGAATGAAACTCAACTCAAAGTGGATCAAAGACTTAGGCACTAGATCGGAGACCCTACGCCTACTAGAATAAAAATAGGCCAAAAGCATCCACCATGTTGGCCTAGGATCTAACTCCCTTAATAAGATCCCTAAAGCACAAGAAGTAAAATCAAGAATCAATAAATGAGATGGTTTCAAACTAAAAAGCTTCTTCTCAGAAAAAGAAACTATCAATAGCATGAAGAGAGAGCCTACAGATTGGGAGAAAATCTTTACCACGAGCACCTCAGATAAATCATTAATCTCTAGGATATATAAAGAACTCAAAAGCTTAACAAAAAAAAAAAAACACCCAAAATAACCCAATCAATAAATGGGCTAAGGAACTGAACAGACACTTCACAGAAGAAGAAATACAACCGATCAACAAATATATGAAAAAGTGTTCAATATCTCTAGCAATTAAAGAAATGCAAAATTACTCTAAGATTTCATCTCACTTCAGTCAGAATAGCAATCATCAAGAATATAGGCAACAATAAATGTTGACAAGGATGTGGGGAAAAAGGCACACTCATACATCGCTGGTGGGACTGCAAATTGGTGCAACCACCCTGGAAAACAGTATGGAGATTCTTCAGAAAACTTGGAATGGAACCACAATTTGATCCAGCAATCCCACTCCTTGATTTGTACCCAAAGGGTTTAAAATCAACATACTACAGTGATGCAGCCACGTCAATGTTTATAGCAGCTTAATTCACAATAGTTAAGCAATGGAACCAACCTAGGTGCCCTTCAATAGATGAATGGATAAAGAAAATGTGGTGTATATATATTTAATAGAATATTACTCAGGTTTAAAGAAGAATGAAATTATGGCATTTACCTGTAAATGAATGGAGTTGGAGAATATCATGCTAAGTGAAATAAGCGAGTCCTAAAAAACCGAAGGCTGAATATTTTCTCTGATATGCAGATGCTAATTCACAATATGGTGGTGGTGCTAGGGAAGAATAGTTTTACTTTAGATTACGTAGAGGAGAATGAAGGGAGGGGATATGGGGATAGGAAGGATAGTAGAACGAAACAGACATTATTACCTTATATACATATATGACTGCATGATCCATGTGATTCTACAATATATATAATCATAAAAATAAGAAATTATACTCCATTGATGTATTATATATCCAAGTACATAAATGCACTCTATTGACATGTATAGCTAATTAAAACAAATAAAATAACTTAAAAATAAAATAATATATTACAATTTATTTAATCATGCTATTGTTACCAAAATCTTGGTCCTTGTCCCTGATACAAATTCATAACAATTTAATAATAATGAGGACATGGTTTTAAGAAAAAGGAAAGTTTTTTTTTTTTTTTTTTTGTTTGTTTGTTTTTTGCCTTGCTAGCAAAGGAGAAACACAGGGGACTCCAGTACTGGAGGCTGTGATTCTGACCATCAGGGAAAACATAGGGCTTTTAAAGGAGCTATTCAAAGGCTACATTCCAGGTGTGCTCTGACCTGGGGCTGGGGTGTTCCAGGTGCATCCTGATGGTGAATTGAAATCCACTTGTTAATTTGGGAGATAGTCACTTCCTAGTTCTTCGGGTGGCATCTCCTTCCTATAAAGAACAGATAATTCAAGTTCAGGGAGGGGGAGAGGAAGAAGAGGAAAAGAAAAACATGTCCCTTTTAAAATAAGAAGCAAAGGCATTATTCAAAAGGTAAAGTGGAACACCATTACACTGTTATTGATTGACTTTCAGTTTGTTTCTACTACTTGGCTGTTATGAATAATGATGCCACAAACATTCTTGTACTTCTTTGGGGAGTCACACACCTACCCATTTTTGCTTCTGTAGCTTAGAGTGAAATTGTTTGGTCATATGGTGTGTGTGGTCTTCAACCCTCCTCCATTCAAAAGTGGGGGTGGAGAGGTAGGGGGCTAAATCCATGACCCTCATGTGTGAACTGCTTAGTGACTCACTTCTAATGAATAGAATAGCAGAAGTCACAGAGTGTTACTTCCAATACGAGGTCATAAAAAGCACGATAGCTTCTCTCTTACATGCTCTGGAGGAAGCTAGTTGCCATGTCATGGGAACATTAGAGTAGTTATATGGGGAGGTCCATGTTGTGAAAAACTAAGCCCTTCTGCCAATAGTCACATAGGTACACCATCTTGAGAGCCAATTTGCTAGCTATAGTCAGGTATTCAGAAGTGCTGACATCTTGACTGCAAACTCATAAGACCATCAGACAAAAACCACCCAGCTAAACTGCTGTCACATTTCTGACATACACAAATAGTGAAAGAAATGTTTATTGTTTTCAATCACTAAGTCCTAGGATAATACATTATGCAGCAATACATGGCCAATATAGTATGCACATGTTCAGCCTTAGAAATGCCAAACATTTTTCTCAAACTAGTTATGTTTGAGATTTTTAGTTGTTTAACATACTTGATAACATTTGGAATCAACAGTCTTTTCAATAATAGCTCTTCTGGTGGGTGTATTTTAGCGCTGTGGTTTAATTTGCATTTCCCTGATGACTAATGAAGTTGAATGTTTTTTCATATAGTTGTTAGATTTTCGAACTTTTAGATATCCCTTTTGGGACTTTGGTGAATTCTTTTGTTTACTTGTCTATTCAGTTTTCTGTTGTTTTATTATTTAAATTTATAAGAATTTTTTATCCATCCTGGATATAGTAATTTTTTGTGGTTAGAGATATTAAACTATCCCTTTTTGTTCTCTTAATGATGTTGATTAATGAAAAGATATTTTTATTACTTATTTTAGTGACATTTAATATTTTATATTGTTTGTTCTTGGTATATAGATATACAGTTGATTTTGAAGATTGATCTTATATCCAGACACCTCTGTGTCTGGTTATTTTTTATTGATTTTTAGGACTTACATATGGAAAATTATATAAATTCTGGTTTCATTTCAGAGATGTAGAGAGCTAGAGAGATTTGCTCATATTCTTACAACAAGAAAAACATGGACAAACTAAAAACTAATGAAGTTTTTTGACCCCTTAAAAGAACTGAAGTCAGTTCTTTAAATAAAATCTGGCAAGACTCAGGTTCACATATGGAAAAACAGTTCTAGTATTTCATAACTTGGGGTAGATTCTTCCAGATGCCATATGTGAGGATGCCCTTAGGCCTGAGCCTAAGCAACTCCATTTTAAAAACTCCAGTTTGAAATCTGTAGTCTTACCAGGTACACACATAGAGCCCTCTAGTATGGCCTCAGACAAGTTACTTCCCCTCACCCTGATAAACAGAGTGAAGCCCCTGGCAGGCTGTCCTTGCCTGATAAGAGGGAAAGGCGAGAAGATCAGGGTGGAGACCACCAGAGCAGATGTTTCTGACCCCAGGGTAAATGACGTCATGGAGAAATCCAGTGGTAACTGATAAGGATTGAAAGGGAGGTCAAAAAGCCCCCAAATTTAGTATAAATAATAGAGCTGATGAACAGGGATCAGCCAGCGGAAACAAGAATGCACTCAGCTGGAGAGCCTGATGAGGACCTGACTTCCCATCACTTGTCATTATTCCTGATCCTCTGCATGATCCTCTATCACCTCGTCTGGACCTTGGTGAGAGCCGCAACTTCTCCCTATGACTCTCTCCTCAATGGGTCGTCCACTCCATGCCAGGAAAAAGCCTGCCTTGGTTCCGGACCTGATTACTACGGTCTGAGTGAGTGTGCATCTGCTGGACTCAAAGCCTAAGACTTAAGACCTTTGAATTTAGCATGCAGAGGGAATGTCTGTCTCTAGCCTGTCATGATTAAATGTGTTTTGCAGTGCTTAGAATTAATCTAGAATTGTTCGCTGTGAACTTATTATGTCTATTGCAGTGCCTAGCATTAAGGATTGTCGTTTTCTTGATTAAGAACCTATAGAATGAAATTGTATTGAGTAATTTGAGTGAATAAAGTATTGAAAGGGGCAGAAGCCCATGGACATTCTTTATTTCTCCCCTCGACTGCATACATCACAATTTTGCCCCTTTGCAACACCATGTAAGCCAGTGTTTTAGTCAGCTTTTTTTTTTTTTTTTCTGCTGTGACTCAAAGACCTGACAAGAACAATTTTAAGAAGGAAAAGTTTATTTGGGAGCTCATGGTTTCAGAGGTCTTAGACCATAGATGGCCACCTGCATTCCTTGGGACTCAAGGTGAGGCAGAACATCATGGCAGAAGGATGTGGCAGAGGAAAGAAGCTGGGAAGGTGGCAATAGGAAGCAGAGAGAAACTCCACTAGCCAGATACAAAATACATGCCTCAAAGGCCTGCTCCCAAAGACCCAGCTCCTCCCGCCACACCCCACCACCAAGTCAATCCCCATCAGGGGATTAATGAACTGATTAGGTTAAACCTTTTATACCTCAATCGTTTCACCCTTAAACTTTCTTGCATTGTCTCTCACATGAGCTTTTAGGAAAGACCTACTATCTAAACCATATCAGCCAGTAACAATAATCAGCTAGAAAATTTTAATATATTGCTGAAGATTGAGTGTGGGCTAGTGCTATATAATAAACTCTTTGGAGTCAACACCTCCTTGAAGAGTTTTTCTGGAAGAATCCTACCAAGAACTCACAAGGGAAATTGGAAGAAATCCTGATAAAGTTTTTCTCACCACCCAGAAAATTTTCTTGGTTTGATGAGAGGCATAGCAATAAACCACCAAACTTATCTACCCTATTCCCCCATGGATTTGAATGCTTATTCCACAAGGACAATGGAAACAAAAATCATATCCTTAGGGCACTTGTCCAAACTCAGTCACTGGGGGAGGTAAAGAGGGGACTATGCTTACCCCTGGGAGAAAGGCAGGAATAAGTTCCAGGCTTAGCACTAAACATGGAAGAGGAACAGGAACACTAGTGAAGGATTCCAAGAAGTGGGTTCATGGTGTCTGATTAAAATGGAAACCTAACCAGAACATCAGTGAACCTCTCCACCCCATCAGAAACACTCCAATACACTGTGACTATAGCATGATAGATGACTAGAGGTGTCTGGCGCACTTCCCTCTACAAAAAAAAATGAATCCCAACAAAGAAAAAACAACTCTTATTCTAACAGTATTTGAGGTAGAGCACCAAGTACAGTAGAGATGTGGAGAGACTCTATGTGCTTAGCTCCATCTTTGTAAGGCACATCTTCATGCTCTGCAGCATCTCTGAAATTCAGTAGGGAGAACTGCTAGAGATTCTTTCTGGGGAGCAGTACAAAGGGAAGATTTTAAACAAAGCAGGGAAATACATAATCGAGTGGGAAGCAGACACTCAGAGGAACACTCTGGCAAACACCTCATCCTCCAACACAGGTATCACTGGCGAAATCTGAAGCCTGTGGTGCACTGAGGTTGACCATGGCAATGACAAATTTCAAATCCAACTCAACTTCCAACCAAATTAATGGAAATTCCTGTATCTACTAAGGACTTTGCAGGAAAGATATACTCCTCTCCAAGCATAAAATATTTTTGTCTCAGCACTTAGTATCTGATTCAACCCTTCTCACTTGTAACAACAACAACAAAAAATGAGGTCTATAAAATGGCAAAAAAAAAAAAAACCCACAAAATTCTGACAATACCAAGCATTTATCAGAAGCAGACACATATATGACAAAGATTTTGGAATTATCTGACAGGGAATTTAAATTATAATTAATATGTTAAAGGATGTAATGGAAAGGATAGACAGCAGGCAACTCTAAGAGGTAATTTCAGCAGAAAAATGTGAACTCTTACAATGACTCAAATGGAAATAGCTGTAGCTTGAATTTTGAATGTCCTGCAAAGGTCCATGTGTTGAAGGCTTGAACTGGAATCTCAGAAACTAGATAAAGATAAAAAAAAGAAAAGTTATATTTCTAATAAGACTGTCAGAGTTTAAGAGGGGTTGGGAAAAATTACATGAAAAATGTCCACAATTTTACAACAAAATATATAAAAATATCCAATTTTCAAAAAATTGTCTCAAATGATAACCTACTCAGAACAGAAAACATAAAAGTTCATGTCTTACAACACAGAAGGAGGATGGCAAAGTTGGAGGCTAGCACTACCCACCTTCAAGATTTACCATAAAACTACAGTAAACCAGATAATGTGGTGTTGGTAAAATAATAGGCAAATAGATCATGAAACAGAATAGAAAGCCCATAAACAGACCCACAGAAATATAGTTGACTGGTCTTTGACATAGGAGAAAGTGAAATGCCAGAGAGAAAAGATTGTCTTTTCAAAAACAATACTGTAACAACTGAAAATACACATTCACAAAATGAATTTAGATACAGACTTCATGCCTTTCATAAAAATTGCCTCATACTCAAAATGGATCATAGACCTCAATGTAAAATGCAAGACTTCTAGAAGATACAAGAGAAAATCTACATGGTCTTGGGCTTGTTGAGAAATGTTTAGGTACAACACCCCAGGGAAAATTCACAAAAGAAAGAATCAATGAGCTGTACTTTATTAAAATAAAAAAAAAAAACCTCTGCTCTATGAAAGACATTGTCAAGATAATGAAAAGAGAAGCTAAGACTAGGAGAGTATATATGTGCAAAAGGTGAATTTCACAAAGTACTGTTGTGCAGAATATGTGGAGAAATCCTAGAATACAAGAAGAAAACGAAATGGGCCAAAGATCTGTCAATGTTTGCTTTACATATTTAGGTGCTCTAATGTTGGATGCATATAAATTTATAATTGTTTTATCTTTATAATAATAAAATTGACCATTTTATTATTATAAAATGTTTTCTTTGTTTCCTTTGACAGTTTTTGTCTTAACGTCTGCTATGGCCTGAATGTCTCTTCAAATATAAGTGTTCAAAAGTAATCTTAACTGTGGTAGGTGAGCATCTAATAAAGGGGATGGAAGGAAACACCTTGGGCCCTTTTTATTGTTTTACTCTTCAGCCACATGAGGACACAGTATTTCCTCCTCCTTTTGTCCCTTTTCCACCCTGTGTCTGCATTCCATCAAGCTAAGGCAAGAAGACCTTCAGATGATACCAAATGCTTACACATTGATCCTGGGCTTTCTGATCTCCAGCAATCTCCAGAATCAATTTCTGTTCCTTATAAATTACTCAGTCTCAGGAAGTTTATTATCACAGCACAAATGGCCAAACACAGAGTCTATTTTATCTGTTATACCTATGGCTATCTGTTATACCTATGGTCTCTCCTTTGGTTAACATTTACATGGAATATATTTTCCATACTTTCAGCCTGTTTATCCTTAAATCCAAAATTATTACAGACAGCATATAGCTGGATCAAGTTTTTGTAATCCTTCAATCACTCTATGTCCTTTATTTAAGCAGTTTAATCACAATCCTCCAGCCTCAGCCTCTCCAGCTGCTGGGATCATATGCATGCACCACCATGCTTGGCTCTTTATTTTCTTTGGTATGTCTTCAGATATATATATATATATATATATATATATATATATATATATATATATATATATATAATCTCTATCTTTTGCTGAAATTCTCATTTGGTTTATGCACATTTTTCCTGAAATCACTGCATACCATTATGATAGTTATTTTGAAATCATTGGTAGCTAATCTATATACCTCTGTTTTTTAGGGTCAGTTTCTGGAAATTTATTTTGTTCCGTTGATTTGACCATTTTCCTTATTTATACATGTTTCTTATAGCTCTGTATTGTTATCTGTACATTTGAAAAAAAACAACCACATCTCTAATCTTTACTGACTGGCCTTGTACAGGTAAAGACTTTTACCTATCAGCCTGGCAAAAGATTGGTGGCGGGAGCAGAGACTTGGGGTGGGGGGCGGGGGTCTTTAAACTTTTCCTGTGGACATGTCTTCCCTGGACTCATGCAGATAGCTTCATAATTAAAGGGATTTGCTGTTTTTCTGTCTCAGTAACTCATATCTCTGGATCCTTCTGGTGTCTGTCTGCTATGCTGTGTGTCCTCTGATACAGTAACACACTGTCCATCTTTTCCGTTCTTATAAGCTCTCAGTTATCCAGAGTATGGTACACCCATCTTGAATTACAGAGAAACCAGTTCCTTGACCAGCCCCTTGAAAAACCAGAATGTTGGACACATACCCGACTCTTGCCTTCTGAGAGAGAGGCCACCAAGCTATATTGTACCACAGGCCCTTTAGAGAAGCATAACACCCAGCCCTTTCCTTCAGGGGCCCCCAGGTATCTAGAGTATGCTAGGTCCAGCCAGTGCACCAAGACACCCAAAGAAACCAAACCTTTGAGCATCCCTTTATCCCCCCGAAAATCTGGAATACTGGATGCACACTCCAATCTTCCCTTCCCCTTGAGGGAAAGGCCACTGGGCTCTACCTGCCTGTGTATGTATACCAAGGGTCCTCTAGGTCAGTGGCACGTCACCCAGCTCTCCGCTCCAGTGGCCCCTACGCTAAGTCCCAGCACAATCTGAGACAGACAAGACAGAAGCAAATACCTCAGGCTGCTCTCCCAACGAGTCAGAACTTTGGTTGTGTGGTCCTGTCTTCTTTCTTCCCTCAGGGAGAAGCCAGGAACTAGGAGTTTTCTCCTAACTGTGTGGTGCTGTGCTGAGGGGAAGGACCATGGCCAGAGTGTGCTACCAAGTTCCCTGCTGGCTTTGATGTAGTTGGTTTTGTGCTCACCTGGTGTGAAGGAGCCTCTGAACTGCCTTCTGGATTTCTCACAGAGAGTTTATCTGTGTATTGTTGAGTCGGTGTCTCCGTGGGAGGGTGGAAGGACTGGGGTTTCCTATTCTACCATCTTGCTGACGTTTACTGTGGTTATGATTTGCATTTCCCTGATGACTAGTGGTTACAAACGTATTTTGTGTGCTTATTGGCCATTTGTATATCTTCCTTGGAGAAATTGCTATTCAAGTCCTTTGCCCCTTTTTAAGCTGGGTTTTTGTTTTTATTGTTGTTGTTGAGTTGTAGGAGTTTATTTATATATTCTGGATATCAATCCCTAAACAGGTGTGGTTTTAAGCAAAGAGGTTTTGGGATACTTCGTTATGGATGACAAATGAATACTAAAAAATCATATACAAATACATTAATAATAATTGTTCGCAATATAAAAATACTGTGACATTGAGGAGATAATTTTACTGCAGTGTATCTGCTTGGTGGACTATTAATATATTATTACATGGCTCCCCAAAGTTTTATAATATGAGAAAAATGCTTATGCTATCTTAAGTAAAAAGTAGACTATACATTGATACTAAGAAACTGAAGAAAAATTCCATAGTTTTAATATTTATGACAAATTGAATTTATATAGATTCATGTTTGTCTTGTTTTTGTTATAGTATCTATTGTTACAAATATTTCTACATTTTATTCACTTATTACTATGTTTATATTTATTAGTTATAAATATTGTTGTAAATATTAATCTATTTACATTCCTGCTTTGCAATAGTTTGAAAGGTATACAATCCATTTTTAACTGTGTTTTTTATCTTAATATTTAAAAAATATGCTTGAATGTAGATGAAATTATCAAAGTTAATTGCTTCTTCTCTTGGAATGGCCCACTCCCCATTCCCCATTCCCAGAGCATATTTTCATTTCATTAAATAAATCTTTTATTCTTTTTCTAAAAAGAAGGAAGAAGTCAAAATTAACACAATAATTGAATTCTTTTAATCTTTTAATTCGAAGATTAACAATTCATTAACTTTACTTCTTTGCTCCAGTTAGCCATGGTATCATGTTAGTATTAAAAATAGTATAGATCATTTACTTCCAATAATTTTTCTTGCATTCTGAATCAAATTTAAAACAATTATCTAATCTTATCTCTTTATATTTAACTGCCTTTAAAGCTCAGCACTGGTTTTTATCAGCCATGCCTTCTCTAAAACCCTTAGGCTTTCAGTTTTGATTCATTTCTTACTATTCTGCAATACATCTTTAAGTAATTGATTTTGGAAGAGTATCTTGGCTGTGGAATTTTTGTTGTTTTCTTATCTACTTGGTAGTATATTTCTGTTGATTTCACAAATAACTGGCATCTTATTTAGGATGGAAATATTAACCTAAAACTCTCTAGGTATTGTTCTACCATTTTCTGAGATTGAGAAAAAGGCCACATCAGGTTTTTTTTTTTTTAGCTTTCTCTCTCTCTCTTTGGAATTTAAAGTGTTCTCACTGATTTGTCTGGATAAGAATCCATTTCACAAACTTTGCTTTGATGTACTAAAATTTCAGTTTCTAAATGATGTCCCATTTAGTTCATATGAGGAAATTTCTTCTACTATAGTTTCTGCTTGACGAATTCTGTGTTGCTACATCTAATTAATTTTCTAACGCTGCTTTTTATCAGGCTTCTATTCCAGAATATTCTTCCTCATCAAGGTAATCTTTGACCAGGGTAGGCCTGAGCTAATGGAAGTAGTCATTTGTGTTTGCTCTCCTTGGTTGTACAACCCTTGCAGGAGGACATCTCTCCTCATCCCAGGCTCAGTATGTCCTCCCTCATCTTAATGATGGAAATGTCCAAGGGGAGGCTACTTACACCCATCCACACTCAATTCATCACAGTTTTAGTCATTTTACCAAAACTTGTCTTTTTACTTTACTTAGTAGGTGCAAAGATTCCCGACCCCCCTTTTCAATTTAATTTCTCAATTTTTTGAGGGATTTTCAAGAGGGGGTATTTGGGGTCAGCCTCATCTTAACATCATGTCTGGACCCCCAAAACCACTGAATTATTTTATAAAAATATATTTAGACCTAGGTCAATGAAATTTTTTAAAAAGCAAGGAAAGGGTTAAATATCTTCCTCAAGTGTGGGCAAAGTCTGAAAAGAGGAACAGTTCCTCTTAAAGAAGTTAACAGGCTATATGATCACTCGCACAGGCGTGGAAGGGCTGCTATTCTTATGCTAGAACTCAGAGCAGCACAGCCAGACAAACAAGTGGGCTCATTTCCAGAACCTGGGACACAGCAGAAGCAGTCAAGATGGATCCCAGGTGGTAAGTGTGATCAAGCTTATCCTTTGCAGGGCCATTAAGGGTTATGACCTCAGCAAAAGGCTGAGGTTGAGAACGGGACTGTGACAACCACCCTTCCTGCCTGAGAATGCTAATATGTATTCAGGGCCTGTCTAGTTAAAGGCCCAAAGTGAAAATTCCTGGGTGGGAGAGCGGCGTGTAATGTGAAAAGTTAGCTAAAGCCCACAGAAGTCATTCTCTCCTTCTTGGAGCCTCTGCTCTAGGTTGATTCTTTTTTTATCTTTTTTTCTTCAAGAGATCTTTGCCACATGAAGGTGAAAATTATTGAGAAGCCAAAAACAGTTTATTGGCAGTTTTTTTTAAAAGATGAATTTTGGTCTTGTAAACTGTTTTACAAATATTGAGTGTTTACAGACATTGATTTTAAGTCCAGAATGAGGAAAATTTTAAATGTCTACACAAATATGACAAATGAGAAGGAAATGTTTTTGGTACATCATAGTCAATTTGGCCTAAGAGTGGAGGGCTCACATGGAGAAGGTAAAAGGAGAGAAGCCAAAGAAAAGGAAGGAGAAGAAGAGGTATCCTGGGTCCTAAGTATCTGTGGGCTCCCCGTTCATGGAGCCAACCACCTGAAGATGGGTATTGTAGTTAGACCCATGATGGTCGTGTCTGTACTAAACATGAATAGACTTTTTCTTTCTTGTCATTATTCCCTAAATAATGCAGTATAACAATTATTTACATAGTATTTGTGGTATACTAGGTATTTTAAGTAATACTGGGGTGATTTAAAGTATATGAGAGGATGTACATGAGTTATATGAAAATACTATGCCATTTCACATAAGAAACTTAAGTATTCAAGATTTTGGCATTCATAGAAATCCTGGAACCAATCCCCATGGATACCAAGGGATGACTGTATAAGGAGAAAATACAAAATTCAGTTAATGAGTCACAATCAGGCCATGGGAGATAGGGAGATTCTGGGGAATGTGGGGTAGTGCAAGGAGGCAGAGTAGTTCAATTAGTTGTCGTGTATGGAATATGAAAGATGTGCGGTGTACTTTACTAGTGCTGTTTCACTCAATTTTAATCTCCACAATGGCTTTTGGACAGATACTATTATCGTGCTGTTTTATAGATGAACTAAGAGTGGCTTAAAGAGGCTAAATAATTCACCCAGGGTCACACTGCTCCTAAGGGGTAGAGATGAGGTCTTTCTTGCCAGCCTTGCTGAGCACCACAGGGCTTCTCCATGTCGCTGCAGGTTCCGGTCCCCTGGCAGGGACTCCCTGGTAGAAGTCACACCTCCCCCTTCCTTTGCACGGTGGTGGCACCAGTCAGTCATTATTTGTTACTTTTCTTCTTTGAAAGTCTGCCATTTACCCAACACTTACTGGTTTAGGAAACAGCCTTGCTGCATTTTTTTTTTTAATCAGAAGACTAGAATTTCATTTTCAAGCAAAGATTGCTTTTCTCTCTAGTGAAATCTTGAAACTTTATAGGCGCCCGTAAAAAATTCAGAACTTAGAATCTTTGTGGAGCGACAGGAATGATGCTGCTTAATCCTAGCACTGCCCACAGAGGCTTATAGGAAAACAGGCCATTGTTTCTTGTTCTTGTTAAGATTCTCTTTGTTTCAGTGCCTGAAAATTGGTTACGAACCAACAAGTAGCCAATAAACAATGTTAAGTCTTATCAGAAATAAAAGGAATACAAATCAAAACAGCAAAAGATCATTTTTTTTTTCTTTATCAAAGTGGTAAATAAAAAAAAAAAAAAAACAAGCAAGAATCCATGCTGGGGCTGGGGCTGGGGCCAGGGCTCAGTGGTAAAGCTCTTGCCTAGCATTTGTAAGGCACTGGGTGCAATCCTCAGCACCACATAAAAAACTAAATAGACAAACTAAAGGTATTGCGTCCATCTACAACTAAAAATACTTTTAAAAAAAAGAATCCTCCATGTTGTTGAGAAGAGAGAAATATTTATATTCTCATTGCCAACTGAAGTTTATATGATCTTACTGAGCAATAATCTAGTGAAATATATCAAAATCCTTTTAAAAAATGTATATATTCTTTAACCAAACACTTCCCCTTTGGAGAATTTATGCTAAGGATTTAATAATATGTGTCTGTAGAATTTTAGTGACATAGTTTTTTTTTTGTTTTGTTTTGTTTTTGGCCATTGTTTCTAATAGGGAAAATCTTTGAAACCACTTACATGTCTAAACATAGGTAATTAGAACATCCATAATGGAACATCATGGAATCATTAAAATCCTGTATAGAACACTTTATAAAGTGTAAGCTTAAGGGGAAAGTAAACAGAATGTATAGTGATACACACAATGTTACTCAGAAATACAGATGGCTTTATTTTCTACTGTGTGCTTTTGAACTTGAAGGTTTTTAGGCAGAAAAATAAAATGAGATTTTTTTTTTAAAGAAACCAAGCTAAGATGATTTTTTTTTACAACTATTTAGCAGTATATGATCACTCATAATCTGTGGGATTCCACTGTAAGGCTTTAGTCCTTTGAGTTTAACTTTTTTCATGTCTTGACTCCTCTTCAAAAATATGCTCACTCCAACCTTAACTCCTTCAGTTCTTTTAGGCCTATTTTGATAGCAAATTATACTTGGAAGAGGACAGAGCACTCGTTTCCTTATTTTACAGATGTGATTGTCTGGTGGTTAAGTGGCCATGCTTTGGAAAGACTGCTGGGGCTTGCAAACCAGCTCCCTTGCTTTCTAGTTGTGTGGCCTTGTAGAAGTTGCTCA